GAAAGTTTCCAGACATAATAGATGTGCTCACAGAGAATGTAAACAAACCGGGTGAGGCGCACTATATTTGAAAGCGCCTGCCGTCTAGCAAATTTTGGTCATAACTTGAAATCGCCGTATTAGCAGAACGCCGTAAAGTAGGGCCCTACTGTAATAATTCTACAACTGAACTTGGGCGTGTTCCTGTAAACATCTCTCTCATGCGTCTGGAAACTTTTGAAAGTTTCAAGTGTTTTAAAGTTATTACGTATATTATGTGCATGATTTTTGTATTACAATGGCATCTAAGGGTAGTTGTGGGAAAAAAAGAGCGAGTCATGATAACTTTAATGTAGACATCAAAATGAATAAAATTCATTAAGGGCGAGGATAAAGATGTGTTATCTGCTCCTGACTTCCTACAATAAATACTACTCACCACTCAGTATAAGATAAGGCCAAAATTATTTTTAGGCAAGTAATGAGTGTACTGTTTTTTTACTGCATTTTACTTCTTGCTCACTTAATATATAATAGCATAAACCACGTTATCAGGCATTTACATGCATTGAAACAAAAATGAGAAAGGCAATTCACTTTATGGTGGTAATCTGGAACCTAACCTGCCGTATAATTGGGGCCCTCCTGTACCTGCAGTTTTCCTGTCAACATCCTCTTATTAGACAGGAGGCTATGGACACAGCAAGCCCAACTGTGAATTTGACCTTTATATGACATTAATACCAACAGCTTTTATATATATATATATATACATACATGAGGTTAATCATAGAATTGATGAGGAAAAAAAAGGTGAGTGGTGCGTTGAGGTATACGTGGAGTCAAAAAACGTTATCTATGGAGGCAAAGAAGGGAATGTATGAAAGTATAGTAGTACCAACACTCTTATATGGGTGTGAAGCTTGGGTGGTAAATGCAGCAGCGAGGAGACGGTTGGAGGCAGTGGAGATGTCCTGTTTAAGGGCAATGTGTGGTGTAATTATTATGCAGAAAATTCAGAGTATGGAAATTAGGAAAAGGTGTGGAGTTAATAAAAGTATTAGTCAGAGGGCAGAAGAGGGGTTGTTGAGGTGGTTTGGTCATTTAGAGAGAATGGATCAAAGTAGAATGACATGGAAAGCATATAAATCTATAGGGGAAGGAAGGCGGGGTAGGGGTCGTCCTCGAAAGGGTTGGAGAGGGGGCAAGGGGCTTGGACTTCCAGCAAGCGTGCGTGAGCGTGTTAGATAGGAGTGAATGGAGACGAATGGTACTTGGGACCTGACGATCTGTTGGAGCGTGAGCAGGGTAATATTTAGTGAAGGGATTCAGGGAAACCGGTTATTTTCATATAGTCGGACTTGAGTCCTGGAAATGGGAAGTACAATGCCTGCACTTTAAAGGAGGGGTTTGGGATATTGGCAGTTTGGAGGGATATGTTGTGTATCTTTATATGTGTATGCTTCTAAACTGTTGTATTCTGAGCACCTCTGCAAAAACAGTGATAATGTGCGAGTGTGGTGAAAGTGTTGAATGATGAAAGTATTTTCTTTTTGGGGATTTTCTCTTTTGGGTCACCCTGCCTCGGTGGGAGACAGGCCGACTTGCTAAAAAAAAAAAAAAACATACATACATACACGCATTTATACACTTTTTCAACACTACGGTCGTCTTCCATTGAGGCAGGGCGACAAAAAAAAACACTATCTTTCACACTATCACTGTCTTCGCAGAGGCACCCAAATATGACAGTCAGATGTCACTCCAAACAGCCAATATCCCAAACCTCTCCTTTAAAGTGCAGACATTTTACTTCCCACCTCCAGGACAAGTCCAGCTAACCAGTTTCCCTGAATCCCTTCCTAAAATATTACCCTGCTCACATTTTAATAGCTCGTCAGGTCCCAAAAACTATTAGTCTCTATTCTTTCCTAACACCCTCACACATGCCTACTGCATGTGTGAGCCCCTTGCACACAAAAACCCTTTACCCCCTCCCTCCATCCTTTCCTAGGATAAGCCTTATACCTCCTCCCTTTCACTACAGATATATACACCCCAAGTAAACCTATTTTGCTCCATCCTCTCTAAATGACCAAACCACCTCAATAACCCTTCTTCAGCTCTCTGAATAATACTTTTAGTAACTCCGCACCTCCTAACTTCCAAACTACAAATTCTCTGCATAATATTTACACCACACATTGCCCTTAAACACGACCTCTCCGCTACCTCCAGCATCTTTCTCGCTGCAGCATTCACAATCCATGTTTCACATCCATGTTTACAAATGTTGGTACCGCTACACTCTTGTATATTCCCTTCTTTGCCTCCATGGATAACTTTTTTTTTTTGTCTCCACAGACACCACAATGCACCACTCACCTTTTTTCCCTTCATCAATTCTATGGTTAACCTCGTCCTTCATAAACCCATTGCTGACGAATTACCATGAAATATCTGAACACTCACCTCTTCCATACTCCCTCCCTTCAATGTGATTTCCAATTTTTCTTTACCT